GTTTGCTTTGAGACCTGCTGCTTCCAGAGGTGCCTGTGGGTACAATGGAGAGCACCCCCAAGCAGAGGCTCAGGGGGCTCCGGCTGGAGCATGCAGCACCTTTTCCTACACCCACACCCAGGGAACACACCCCGGTTTGCACATGTTCACCGCACCCCAAGTCTCCTACCAACCCCTAACCCCCTTCCTTTTACCCACAGTGCCCGACCCTGTGGTGCTCCCAGGCTAGCCCCCACGTGCAGCGGGGGGCCTTCTGCACCAAGGCAAGCAATTTCTTTGCTTTTAGATTTGATTCTTCACGTTTAGCAGTAGACGCATGCTCTTTAAGAGATTTATTCACAGAGAGCTTCCATATCATCTCATTCATGATTATGGGTTTTGCACATACTATGCCACAGTCTTACCTTTACAGTTTAGAAAATGACAATAGCAAAACCTCCTGGAGAAGCACCTCTGTAGTTTTGCCAGATGGGGAGCATGGTCTTCCCCAGCGTGGGACCAACACCTGTCCCCTGTGAGGGCCATCAGCTGGTATACCTGACTTCTCTCCCACCCTTATAGGGCCGTCCTCTGTCCTCTCTCTGCCCCCAGTCACAGGTCACTCCTGGGTGAGTTTGGAGCCCAGCCTGGCCTCTGCTGAAATATGGTTGTTCCCGAGGAGCAGCCAGGGATAAATGCGGAAGAAGAGGAAGAGAGAGCAGCGTGGGAAAAGTTACAATGGATCCTGGCTCAGCAGAGACTGAGGAGGAAACTGAATGGCTGACTCGTGGTCAGAGGCTGAAAGGCAGTACCAGCATGCAATATGGCACATGGCCATCATTTGTCTGTTGCTCTGTTCCCTCTGTCAAGGGTTGTTCAGGTATGTCAGTGTAGAAACTGCAGGTGAGTGAAATTCAAATGTAAAAAAATCAAAAGGTGATGGAATGCAGTTTTGATTGATTGGGTTTATAGGATGTTAGAACTGGAAAGGATTTTGGAAATCAGTTAAATCCAGAAGTTTTCTAACTGTGGTTTTGCAGAAGTTACTTAGATGATGTGGGACCCTCACCACCCTGTTTTGAATGTCTTCTATATTCGGGACTAACAAGTGGTTATGAGTTTAGGCCTTGGAATCAGCTCGGGCTGGATAGAAGTGCAGTAGCCTGTCTTTGGGGCGCAGTTCTTCTCCTTGTTGGCTGTGTGACACTGGGTAAACTGCTACATGACCTCTTGGCACTTCAGTTTTCTTATCCATAAAGTGAACATCAGAACACATACCTAGTCTGGTTGTTGTGAGGAATAAATTATGATAATGGAAAATAGTAAGAGCTGACACTTACTGAGTCCTTGCAATGTGCCAGGCACTTTTCTGAGTTATTTACATGCATTAATCAACGAATTTTATTACAGATGAGAAACCTGAAGCACAGAGAGGTTGACTTGCCTGGAGTTTCAGTTGACAATTGGTGGCACCAGGACTGGATTCCAAATAGGGCCACAATCTTGACTGCAATGCTCTCCTGCCTCTCATCATGGGTAATAAAATTATGTAGCTCTATAATTTATCAAACTTTTGCAATGTGCCAGGCTCTGTGCTAAGAGCTATACGTGGATTACTGTAACACAATTCCTACAGCAATTCTTTGAGTTGGGGCATAGTATTACTTTCATTTTACAGGTAAGAAAACTGGGGCTTAGTGAACTTGGTGAAGGTCAGCTAGTTGGCACACTGGGAGTTGAATTTGAGCCAGCTATCTTGTGGCCTCTCTTGCTCAGTATGTGACACATAACAGCAGGGACAGCTTTGAGGCTGCACAGGGTTGTGTTCCAAGAAGGACCCTGTACTTAGTGCAGTGTCTGCCATTGGTGTCTTAAAATTTGTCATCATTTATCTTGGAACTTGTGTTTTGTAAGTTGAATTCGATAGGACAATGGAGCATGTGCACAGGCTATGTGGCAGTGTGCACATAGGACTGCTGTTCAGCAGCCACCCACGCACACATAGCTGTTGGCTCTGCATGCATGTTCATGCCTTGGGGCAGTTTGGGGTGCCACAGGGCCCCAAGGAGGCAGCTGGGCCTGGACCTGTGCCCGAATTGGTGGTGACATGAGTGGCAGCAGCAGCAGAAGTGGAGGTGGCGGTGGTTGTGGCCACAGGAGGCAGAAGAGTTCCACATGGGGGCAGTGGAAGAGCTTGGGCGGAAGGCTGGTTTGCCCATTGTCCCCACAGCCTATGCCTGAGGCACCTACACAAATATTAACTCTCCTGTCTGAGCACCAGAAGAGGAACTACATTGCTAAGGCAGTAAACCTTGTCAGTAAATCATTAAAAGAAGAAAAGCATACGCATGGGCATTGTAATAAAGCACATCAAAGAATTATTAGAATTCTTCAAAGATTTAGAATTTCTGGTTGTGAAAACTGCAGTACATTGCAAAGCAAGCATCCACAGGCTTAGGAATAGAAATTACATTTAAAGATCATTGCTTTGGATGGAAAAGCCTTATTACTCACCAATAAAAAGGAAAGAAACCTTGCCATTTACAACAACATGGGTGGACTTACAGGGTATTATGCTAAGTGAAACAAGACAGAGAAAAACAAGTACTGAATGCTGAATGATTTCTTATTTGTGGAATCTAAAAAAAAAAAAAACAAAAAAAAAACCCAAACCAAAAAAATGAATAAAACAAAACAGAAACAGACCCATAGATACAGAGAACAAATTGATGATTGCCAGAGGGGTGGGTTGTAGAGGGATAGGTGAAAAAAAAANCGCCCGACCCGGCCGCGCGGGCTGGCCTCCCGGCGGTCGTGCCCGGCCCCCGGCAACTCACCCCGGACACGCTGCCCTCGCAGTCTGCGGAGAAGCCGGTGTCGTCCGCCTCGGGCACTGCTGTCCCTGGATTGCTGCTGGGCAAAGCTCAGGGGTGTATCCCCGCGCACGCCAGAGGCTAAATCTGCAGGCGCAGGGGTGGGGCAGCGCCGGGCTCCGGGCGCTATTTGGGCCGCTCTCCTTTCTTTCTTCTTTCTTTCTTTTTTTCCCCCAGGCGGTCAGATTAAGAAGCTGGAAATTAGGTCGCGAAGACCCGACGCGCAGGCCAAGATTTTGAATGTAAACCTTCAGCGACGTTTAAAAATTTCGATAGCTAGCCTGCTCCCTGATTATTAAATCGGAATTTCTGGGTTGGAAGCGGGGTCAGGTAAGAGCAATTAAAAAGTTCTCCAGGTGTTTCCGAGCGCAGCCTCGAGGCTGGGAACCTTTGTGTTAGAGAACAAAGAGCAGGCAGGTGCGGGAGTCCAGGCGCGGAGGGAGCAGGTCATGCCTCTGCAGCCTGCGGCGCAGCGCCCAGAAGCGGAGCTCTCCAGCAGCGTCATACTCTTCCACTTGGGATCAAGGTCAAAAGCCCTTTTGGCCCCGTGGTGGTAACTAGTGCGGGCGTGGGAGAGCCGCGGGGCGGCGGCTGGGGTGCTGCACAAGCAGTAGGCGGGAGGCGGGGTGGGGAGAAAAGGGCGTGGGAGAAGTTTGTTTTAACAAGGTGAGGTTGAGAAAAAAGAGAAAATGTCAGCGGTGCACTCTGATCCAGTCAGTGTTTGTAGACCATCCAGAAAATTACAGCAATGCCACATCTGTCAATCTGTCAAGGGAAAAAAGATAAAAATCACTTGACATTAGCTAATCATTTAATAGAAGCATAAGTCACCACTGAATGCTTATAATTGAGGGCAGAGTTTGATAGGTGACATAAGGAGCAGAAATGTCAATAAATTATGGGGTGCTAAAGGAAAAATGGGGAGTCAGGACAAGATTGCACTTGGAATTCACCCAGGGTTGGGTAGGATGTGCACAAGTGGTGGAAGGCCCAGAGGAGAGCAGCATTAGCTAACCTATATCTGGTACAGACCTGGGTGTGTGAGGACCACACATTTGTTCTTTATTTGGCTATGAGAAGAAACAGGTTGTCTGAAGTCTGGAAATATAGGTGCAGGGGAGAGCCTTGAATGTCATTTCAGTGTTTAGGAGGTTACTCGGGTTCTGTAGGCAGTGGTGAGCTGTGGTGAGCTGTGGAAATTGTTTGAGTAGCTGTGCTGTAGGAAGGTGAATGGGACAGGTGTGTGTGCATTGGTTTCAGGGATCATCACCCTGTGGCAGGTACTGTGCAGGGCTCTGTGTTTGGCTCCAGGGAACTGCCGAACTGTTTTGGGGGCAAAGGGGAGGCACATTCATGAACTTCACGTAAGCAGATGGTAGACATGCACCTCAGGTGCCCAGTGCATAGAAGAGGGCGCCTTGCCTGGATGAGGAGAGGTAGTTGGGCTGGAAGGGCCTTCCAGACTTTGGAGACAGAATGCGCCAAGGAGTAGAGGTGAGCAAAACCTGGGAGTGAGAGTGACTAAGGCACAGAAAAGTTGGGTGATGGACTCTGAGTTGTAGTCTGCCTGAAAGAGTTCCAATGGGTGGACATTGGAAATTATCAGCCTGATGTCATCTTCATAGTTTCTCTGAGCAAAATCCTGGGCTGTCACTCTTCTTTCAGAAGTTCAGCATAGACCTCAAGAAAGGAGCATTGTTAAAAATCTCATTAAAACAAAATACAAATGCAAAGCAGTGGAGGTTTCACTGATAATATAATTAAGGGAAGTAGAGGCCCTGTTGTTTGGAAAAGGCCCTACTTTGACTTGATGTGGGGGAAACTCTGAATTGACCATAATTCTGAAAGCTATGAAAGTATTTTTTAAAGCGTCCTTCGTGGCAAAGGCTAGGACCAGACAATTTGTGATGAAAGATGCAGAATGGGCTAATGAAAGTGCAAAAAAAATGTTCTAACTTCATTTTTCGTCAGAGAAATGCAAAGTAAAACATTTCTTGCTTTCCAAATTGACAAGTGTTAAAAGAAAGAGAATGTCTTCATATGGGGTGCTATAAATTATACATTTCTAGAGAGCAAATCTGTATTAGGAGCTAGAAAGGGATAGGCCCTCTCACCCAATTCCACCTATGGGACTTTATCTTTATAAAATAATTAGGTGTCATTTGTTGACTTCAGGAAGAAAAACTGGTTAACAGGAGTCAAGGTTTGGAAAGGAGACTTATGACTGTATTGAATCATGGGAATGTATTACTCTTTCTGGAAATACGTATATTAATAAAAATTGATCTTAGAAATATGTGCAGAGGGAGTGTTCTGCATCCATTTTGTATAAAATCATATTTTTCAAGTGTGTAAGAAATACTGTTCACATAATGTGAGTTTGCAAAGCATAATACAAGACTAAGTGTATGATATGAGCCTATATTTCTATGAAAATTTTATTTATATGCATTAGAAACACCAACATCTTAGCATTTTCTATCATCGAATAGTGGAATTTTAGTTGATTTTTATTTTTTTCTTTATGTCTTTTTGTATTTTTCAAATTTTCCATTATGTGCGTATTTTTATTTCTAATAAGTACGTTTCTTGGAACATAAAAAGACATTCCCATTCAAGATGGCTGACTGAATATATGCATTTACATCCTATTTTATTTCAAAATTTCATTGAAATAAAAGGGAGGATATACAAATGTGAATGAAAACATAATAGTGCTAGGAAGGAAAGGACGACCAGTGAGGACTGACGAGAAGTTGGTAAGCAGATGGGTCTCATTTCCAGAAACCAGAGCAAAAGATACCTTAACCCAAAACACACCCAGAGAAGGCACTACAGACATGAGTCATTCTTCCCAACAGAAACCCGGAGTAATTCCAGTTCAGTAAACAAACACAGAGAGTAGAAATAGGACATGGGGCATCCAGATGGAATAAGAGTTTTGACATTAAAAAAACAA